CAAAATATATTTGCTGCTCAATGACATATAAATAAATAGCAAATCATCAATACATTTAAGAGATCTTAATATTGTTAAAGAATTGATTTACTAAATACATAATTTAATGGTTTTAATTAATAATATGCTGTAGTGTGGAGTTCTGTCACAGTGACCCTAAGGTCAAGACCTGTAGTTTATGGACTATTAATTAGCCATTAAGTCATTCGCTCATCTGACCTGCAAATCTATCAGATTGATGGATAGCAGAGACCTTTATGTTCCTAATAGGTATTCTATTTAACTTTCAAAATATTCAAGCAAAGTTTGATCACTGAGTAAAATGAAGTGAGAAAAGAGCTTAACAATTTTTTTAAGGCTATTTCATCACCTTTCACTTGAAAGCAGATATTAACTTGAAGAATACCATTGCTGTCTTCAATGTTCTCCCAGGACTACTGACTGAACACTGCCACTAGTACCTTAATTTCTTTTCTTTAAAGAAAGGAGATCAAAATGATTTTTACAGATCTTTTGAATGCATAATATCAAGCATAAATTTTAATTGCACTTCATTTACTAAGTGGTGCATTACCTCATCCTTTGGTTTTAACAATGGATTTTCTATAAATCTTCATATGGTTAAACATGATAAACTGCTCAACATATCATGGAACATGGCAGTGCTTATTAGCACTTGAGAAGTTATTGATTGCTTATCTTGATTAATCTTTTATGGGTCTCTGTAGTATTAATTCCACAGAAAAGACTTTGGAAGTTCTGTAACATTAGTCTCCTCATTCATACATTCGTCTTCAATTACATGGATTTCTCTGACTCCTCTTGCTAGATTAATTATAACCTCTTTGTCACCAGATTTTGCTTTCAGTTTATCAAGAATTAGAATTTTAATGAAAAATACATATTTAAAATATTCTAACAAAGAGTGGCATTAATGAGATGAGATGTTTCCTGCAGTTTGGTAGAAGGAGAGAATTCTTAGGTTTTTGGCAAGAGGAGGAGATGCGAGTATCAATTTTAGAGACGCAGCTTATGATGTATGTTTGCCAGATACTCAACTGCTTCATTTCAGATACAGCCTAGGAAGTTTCCTCTCATATTTTAAGTTAATGGCAAAGCTTTTCTATAACAAGTAGCATCAGCTTTATCATAAAGAAGAGGAAGACTGCAGCTTGCTCACCAGGTTTATCTGGGGGATGGCAGGCAAAGACACAAAATCTGCCAGATAAATGCTGAGTGTGTTCTTGAGGGTAGGTTTCCTATGTCCCAGAGAAGTACCTGCTCTACGCAACTATTTTAGACTCTCTTGCCTCTCATTTTAAAAATGAAAATCTTAATATGTTTGCATCTTCTTTCTGGGGCAGAGTGAAAATAGATTCCATGATTCAAATTCCATTTTTTTTTATTTTGAACATTCTTAAAATCAAAGAGCATAACATGCAGAGAAGTCACCTGTAGGCATAAGGACTTCATAAATTGAAGTAATTCTAACAAAAATATCCTTACCACAGATTTGAGAAACTTCTTCAAGCCACAAGATCCGAACAATTAATGTTCCAGTTTCAATTTGATAGAATGTCATTGCTTCATGGTCAGCTATTGATGAATACTTGGGTGCTGTGTGGTTCCACCACCAACCCAGTGCATTCTTCTTCTCAGTCTCTGCTCTCCCTCTACTCTCATTTTGCATTCTCTCTAAATATGCATTTAATAAGCACTGGGATTTGGGGAGGAGGGGAAGAGAAGGCTTTGTAGACACTCAGTGCCCAGCCTGGGCTCTTCTGTGGTGGCATTATAGACTTTGCATTTGCTACCTTTTGTGTAAAGACATCTACACGTTGCATATGTGTATACTGAACCCTTAGTGACTTTGTACATTCATGGAGGAGTTCTAATCTGATGCTGTGAAACAACACCAGGAGGATGTGGAAGTTTCCAGTGATTTAAAGTGGGGTTGATCCTGCTCCAATTCAGAAGAATGGAAAAACTGTCACTGTCTGGAATGGACAGGGGTCAAATTGGTGTCACTGTAGCAGCACTTGTTATGATCTCACTTTCTTACAGATCTAAACCATTGGCAAGAGCAACAGAGCTCTGAAGTAAACAAACAAAACCCCCATAGCAATAGAAAGGCTAGTTTTATTCTGATGTTAACACTATAGTGAAAGAGTAATGAGTCATCTACCTTATTAATAATGGGCAGATTTTCAATGCCATCATATTTTACTGTCATCAATCCCTGTTGCATCTGTAGGAGCTGGAGTGCAACCAAAAGGAGGGGAGGAGTTGAAAAGACCCTTGGTTTCAGAGGTTAGAAGAACAAAAAAAGATATAAAGCAAGTAAGCTCAATTGCTGTTTCTAATTTAGTTGAAATGAAAACATCTTTTGACCTTGAAAAGGCCAATATTTGACCCTGCATTGAGACTTTCCCCTTTTCTGTAACATGCTTTTATATTCAGTGCTAGCCATTGAGAGCTCTGCCCTCTACAGAGATGTGCTGTGAGGGGCTTAACTAATCCTTGAAAAGGGATTCACTTGGAAGGTGTCATAAGAGTGCAAATCATGGGCAGTATTGATGACTGACTGACTAAAGGAATCTCCTGTGTCTGCATTGTATTCCTAAGAATAATTTTTATTATGTGTCAGTTCTGAAAGCTGTTGGATGTTAACTATTGAATATTAATAGAGTTATTACGTAGGCAGAACAAGTCACTCCTTCCAGATACGCTGAACATAGTTGGCATAAAATAAGATTTATACTTGGGCTGTAAACTAAATGGATACATTAACCAAAAGATCCCTATAGGTGAAAAGAAGTGGGCCATGGCTCTAGTGTACCCTGAGGGCCATGGCAGCAGCTGCAAAGCAATTGTTCTTTGTGTCATGCAAAATGTTAATCTTCTCTTGTTTCCACATGGGTCTCCACAGAGGGAGAAAGATTTTTTCGCTAATAGTACTAGGGGGGTTATTCCAGTGATTTTCAAAAGCTAAATAAATAATTTTTCTTATTAAGCTATACTGTCAATGAAAAAAAATTCAGTCTGAAAGAATCCTCAAGTTTGTTTAACTCAATTTAATAAAAGCAGATCAGAGAAATGTCTTTCAAATGCAAGATGGTCATGTTATGTCTTTAAATTAGTCTCAGTATAAAGATTATATGAGAGAGGTTGCATTTTTCAAATTGGCTTTTTGAACATCCTGAGCAAAGTTGAGAAATAGGTAACTAAAGAGAAGAGCTGCAAATATTAGACATGTATGTATGAGCAAATGTGGAATTTGCACAGGGAAAAATTTAGTTTAAAATTTAGTGAGTTGGTTTAAAAATTTACTCTTTATCTCTACAATGTTTGTAGGTAAGAACCTTCAGCATCTATTTTGGCTTACACAAAAATATGCACATGCAACCCCAGTGTGTTTCTTGAAGGTGCTACCCCTGTGCTCAACAAGACTTATATTCACACCCCTTTAACATCTGCATGCTCAGAACATCTGCACCATACACCAGCCATCCTCTATCTTGTGGTATAAGGTCCCCTTAAAATTAATTAGGGAAATCATGTGAAATAGTTTGCAATTTTTGCTGTTTGAGGATCTTTGCAGTTAGATGGTTTTACTATGCTGCACTGTGTTTTTTAATGAAAGATGCTTTTACTTGAAAACAGAAATAATTGTAGAAAAACTTTTTTGCTCAAAAACATGCTATACAACATCAGAAATGAACATGTTAAAAATTAATTTTCACTTACTCTCTCTTCACTTAAAGGGTAACCCATAATTCTCATAATACTCACTTGAACTTAATGTTTTCCTGTCTTCTAATGGACAGTAATTGAGAGGGATCCATCATCTAAATTATACTCTAGTGCAGAGAATCACTTAGAAAAATGGTGCTATAAACTGGAATGTCTATGGTAAAAATCAATCCCTGGAAGCCGGTTAGTTTTAAGGAAAGCTATCACCTATATGCTAGACATATGTACTTTTATTGTGTTTATATTAATTTGCATATGGAGTTTAAGTCCATAATTTTTCTAATATGAAGTAAAATGATGGCTGTCATGCTACAATTCTTTTGTTTCCACATGCTTCCGTAGAAGACTGTGTACCCAGAAGACTGGGTACAGTTTGCAAGATTTTAAGGATATCTTTACAACATTAATTAACAGACACTTTTTGTTTCCTGCACAAGAAGGGTCCAATAAGTCTTTTCTTATTCACATTGGGTCCATAACTTATCATAGGTGACTGCCTTTGACTAAGTGGTGGGAAAATCCAAGGAAACAAAACCTGAGGTAAGAACACTATTGTTCTTCCCTGCTGCACAAGAGGATCTTCTCTGGCTTGAATCCTTCTGTTGCAGCAGAACTTGGTCCCTTTCTGGTGAGATGACCGCAATGACTGTGGGAAAAGCCTGCAGGACATTTGGAGGAAGCCTGTAAGTCATGGGTTGTCAAATGTTTGAGAGTATTTTTTTGGAGAGGGATCATTTTGCACCAGTCCAAGGCTTAGCCATTTCCTCCTGTCTACTACCCAGGGCCTGATACTAGGGATGAATGGATGTCACCCTTACAGCATGCCTTTTCCCCATTTCTAGTTTAATGAAATAAACAGATGAATAGATAGATAGATAGACAGATGGATGGATGGAGGGATGCATGTCCAAAGGACCACTTCCTCAAATCTAGCCTCCAAACGCTCCTTTTCCAGATGGAATAGAATGGAGTGGTTAGGGTTGGAAAAGACCTCTAAGATAAAGTCCAACCATCAAACTAACACCACCATGCTCACTGAACCATGTCCCAGAGCTCCACATATACATATTTTTGAACACTTCCAGGGATGGTGACTCTAGCACTTCCCTGGGCAGCCTGCTCCAATGCTTGACCCCTTTTTCGGTAAAGAAATTTTTCCTAATATCTAATGTAAACCTTTGCTGGCACAACTTGAGGTCATTTCTTCTTGTCCTATTGATAGTTGGGAGAATGAGCCCAACACTTACACCACTACAAGCTCCTTTGAGGTAATTGTAGAGAGCAATAAGGTCTCCATCCAGTCTCCTCTTCCCCAGAATGAACAGCCACTGTTCTCTCAGACACTGGTATCTGGTGCGTTCCTTCCAGCTGTCATCAATGTCCAATAGGTTCATGTCCCAAGTGGCTGAAGCAGAGACAGCAGAAGTTGGTGGGACCTGGGGATATTTGCATGCCAAGGACACGTTCTCCACATACTTTTCGTATGTCTTTGCTTACCATGTACAATCAAATAGGAAGCAGTACTGACTAGGAGCTCGTGACTCCTGCACCATTATTGAGAAAATTTAATACAAGGCAATAATGAGACACAAAATCATATAAACTTGATCAAATATCTGTGCTCCTAAAGTATGTTTTAATGAATGTTGAGCGAAATACTTCTACTTTATTTTCCATGTTTTGTGGCTGGAACTTTGAGATGTGGTGGAAAAAAATTCTCCAAGATAATTTAGGAAATCTGTTGGAGACCCAGGGTTAAATTGCAGTCCTGAATCCCAGTCTAATAATTTAACTGGAAAATATTTATTTCTTCTCTTTATAGTCTCACAAACTCCAAGGGCCAGTAGGACTAGATGGAAAATTCAGCAACATGCACTGGATACCATACTTGAAAATTATTAAGAAATTAATCATGAAAGACAGAAATGAGCCTCCTCTGACCAACTCTGACCTTGAAATATCCTTCTCCCCTGACACATCAGTTTTCATTTTCAATAGTTGTGAAAAGCATCTTTCTCCGAGAAACTGTGGTTATTCCTTTTGCCAGTTTGTAAGCAAAACACAAAGCAATTTTAAAAGCTGTCAGCTACAATGAGTTCTTCGGTTTAAAAAATACCCTTTGTTTTTCCAGGAACTACTAATGGTTTAAAGCACCTCAATAAAAATCCTCTGCACTTCGGGGAAAGGGCTAGTTTTTTATATCTTTATTGTGAAGAAAACCCAAACAGAATTCTGAAAATCCAGTAGCGTTGATCTATGAAGGATTTCCTTCTTCCTTTATAGGAACCTGTACCATAACCTTTTTTTTTTTTTTTAAATTATTCCTCAGATTTAGACAGAGACAGCCTGACAGTGTCTGGTGCTGTTCTTCTCCTTGCTACTTATGTATGCCTCCTCACAGACTATGATATCACATCTCATTAATCAGGCAGCGGGCTGGCTTGAGTGAGATCAGAGTGTGGGCCAATGCCAGTGCTCCTTTCCTCTGATTCATCAGGTGATTTTTTTTTTCTTCTTCCTTAGTGTGGTCGCAGAAGTCTATAAATAGGAACAGTATTCAATATTTTATCCTCAGGCTAATTTTAAAGGTTTCACTGAAATCAGATGTGTAAGATGGGCTGAGCATCTACAGTAAGATTTGTCAAGCAGATAAATTAGGTAGCAATTGCTCAAATACTGTGTAACTAGAGAGGTTTTGTTTAAGGGCATGATAAAGGAGTCTGTGTTAGCTTTTTTAAACAAATGTGAAAAGATATAAGGATTCTTCACTTGCTTTACATCCTCATACAGGGGCTGACCTATTTTTGCTTTGTTTTTTATTAGTGAACTACAGAAGGCAGATCACTAACCAATGTCCAGAGCTGCTACTAGAGTTACCTGGCTATGGAGAGAAAAGCCAAATAGGTCCAAAGTCAGGCAAGATAGTACCCTGAATGGATTAATTAGAAGGCTCTGGGTTTTGTCATTAACGCTACTCACATTACTCACATTATTTCCAAAGTATTGGGGAACACATTCCCAAGGACTACTGTTGGCACTTGAGGAAAATAACTTGTCACTAAAGGAAGGCAAAGAAGTTTTGGCACAAAAACTCTGCTGGTTTAACTTGCATCTTTGTGTCTCCTTGCAAGTGGGGAAAAGAAGCCCGGGAGGTGATTGAGTTCATGCCCCTTTTGCAAAAGCTTGTTGCTTGTATTTGAGTCCATTTTTTTTCTTTTCTCCATGTGGAGAATGCTCATTCGGCCTCTTCCAAGGGTGTTCCAACATGACAGCAGTGCTAGGGCAATCCTGCTATTTTTCAGACAGCCACTTAAATTTTACCTTCCTCTGTGTGACTTCTGAAGAGCTGCAGGAAAGAACAGTCAGTGGTTAAGGACTGAATCGCGGCTGCCTCCTTTGCAAAGCAGAGGCTCTCAAGGCAGATAAGGAGCACAGCAGGAGGAGCAAGAAACAGCCTACAGATGACAACTTGCAACCTGCAGTGTCTGGGATAACACAGAGGAGTACACTGCAGTTTTTTCTCTTTTCCAATATCAGCACGATGTATGCTGGGGAGGTTGTATCATCGCCAGCGCGAGCTAAGATGATACCCTACAATGTGTGGAAAAAAATGCTCATGATTTTGAATTAAAAGACACATTTCCATCTTAGTGAATGCAAAAATCTTTGTTTTCCAGGAATATCTGACTGGTCCAGCCTACTGAGCCTGTACATTCACAGGGAAAACCAGTACTTAATAGCAGTAAGTTTCCAGGTACTGATTCTGACCTCTGAATGAGCTTTTTGTTTTCACTTCAATGACAACTGCATGGCAGTAGCTGAGCTGCAGCTGAGTTGTGCAAGAGAGAACCCAAATGTTACCCTGTGGCACAATGGGTTCATGAATTGTGGATCTGAGGATGAACTGTTGTCAGATTGTGTAGCAATCTAGTTCTCAAAAGAAATCCTCCTTCTTCCTATATCTTGATTACTATGAGGTTTTCTACTTGCTTTTCTGCATGCTATGAGCTTTTTTACTTTCTTTATGTGCGTCCCGTTTCTTTGTTGCAATCCCTTCATAAACCTTCCTTGCCTACCTTTCAGCTTTTTTATTCTTCAAAGAGCTCATTCTTTCCTGCTTCAAAAAATTCAGGCTTTGCATTCAGCCTTTTTCATACCATTCTATGTGGTGTAGTCTATGGTTTCTCCAGTTTACTTTGAAGCCAACCAAGTCCATTTCCCCACATGTCCACGTTTTTATTTTCTCTTCTCTGATACAGAGAATTCTGGTCCAGATCTCTATTCCTTGTGACTTAATCCCTCATTTAATAGGTATTTCTGATGTGCAGCGTTCATGGAATTAGCTCACAAGCCTTAAGAAGAAAACTATAGATGCATGGTGTTGATGTTAGCAGTGTTTATGGTAGCATAAAGAATGATTAAGTAGACTAGGGGGAAAAAAAAAGGTCTTGGCCAGTTCAAGCCTTTGATTATGCATTACGTTACTTCTTCCTTTCACTCCATACTTGGTTTGTATGCAGTTACAGACACTAAGCTCTTTAGACAATCTAATTAAAAATACTTGTACAGCACCATACACCAAATGCCGTGCAGGAGCTATGGTCAGCCTTGCTGACCAGCAGTACCAGTAGCTGTCTGCATGCCTCCTGCATTTGGAGGTTCTGTTCCTTTCCCCACTGCAACAAACTAAGCTGGTCTATGTTTACAATGATTTAAATCAAAGTTGAATTTGGCCCAAATTTTAGTAAAACATTCTTCCTAAAGTATTACAGTGAAGTCAATACTCTTATTGTTTCCTGCTGTGTCTTTATTTGCATGTTAATGGCAGATTATTGTTGTGTTTTCCAGTGTACTTCCCCAGAGACTCTATGCATGTTTTTATTGATTAGTTCCTCTTCATTTAACATTTAAATGGATATTTTCAAATTGGTGCAAAATTATAATAGTGTGTTTGCTCAAGGCATTTAACTGTGGTATTAGCAGAACCATCCAAGTATGCTGATTATGCATGCTGTGTACAAGAGTTTAAGGACTGCAGTGCAGACCTGCAATTAGGTCTGAGTTGCACAAGCAAACGAATCCTGGGCCAAAAGCACCCATATCTCATTTATCTTCCTCAAAGTTAGTGCAGGTGAATTATGAAAGCAGAAAGTACACATTAACATAAGAAGAAAATAAATCTGAATTTGTAGCCTTCAAGAAAATTCTTATTTTTTTCAGTTTATATAAATATAGTATGCTGACATTATACATTTATCTAAGTAATCTCTTTCTGTTGTTGTAAAGTGGGAGTGGAGCTCAGGAGTGGAAGCTTTTAAAAAACTAAGTTTTATTAGGTGAGCATGCATACTTTTACTGCATGCAGCAGTGAAACTGCTGGCTACGTGAACATGCACTGCAATGACTGATTTGCAGCTTTAAGAGAATGGGCTGCAGTCTCATCAACTTACATAAAACTCTGACCTCCTCAGTATCCAAGCAGAAGAAGCATAAAAGCTGAGGTTTCAGCAAGTAACACTTAATTTATTGAATTTTTTTGGGAAACATGTAGGGAGCATTTATGGGATCTACTGGCTTTGCAAATTGACTTTCTTCATTGTTTCTAGAGGGCTGGCAGGAACATTACTGTTTCCTTGTTGTTTCTGCGAGGCCTGAAGATATGCTCATCTTTGCATTGGTCCTTCTGAGTTAATTTTACTTCTAGCCAATGCTTTTAAATAGCCTCGGGTGGTTTGCGTGCCTGCTAGCAGATCCCAGCTGACAGTCCTAACCTGTTGAAAGCACAAGTGACACACCAGAATTTTCGCAACAAACCCAGTTCTTCTGGCTGGGTTCAAGTTCGTTACTTGTGTCAGGCCTTATAGACTCCTGTGGTCTTTTTTTTCCTACAATGTTTGTCTTCCTTTCCCTGCGCTAAGATGCAATAAATACAACTATTCTGCTCAGTTTTACCCAGAAGGTCCTTTGGGGCATAGCAGGGAGGTCTGCTTGAAAAGCACATTGATGCCTGGGAGAAAAGGTGCTGCACCCATTGGTGCTTTTCTTGCCTCACGCTATGTTTTGATATTAATGTTTAAGCAGATTGTATATCTGAAACTAGAAGGTTATGAACAATCCAAATGTCGTGACAGAATAGGCTCTTTATGGCCAATAAGGGTAAAAATATAGCTCACCTGATGTGGAGAAGTTCTGTGGAATTGGTGGAACTTCTACTGGAAAAGTTTTGTACAAAGAAAACCACTTCAGATTTCAAATAAATGGAGTTACTGTATGTTTGCTGAAACTGGCATATTCCTTGCATGTCTATTGCACATCTAACCAGCATTTTAATGCACTGTGGTTATTTCACAGGGTGCATATGTATTTGTCAGGACACTTAAAAGACTGCATCTCA